ATTGTTACTCTTCCGGTTCAGCCTTGCTTTGTCGTCGTCGTCTGAACAGCGATATCCAGCAGAGGAGGTACCACCGATACCGATAGGCTACCAACACTGTTACAGTGATGACCACGCTAGCAGACAGTACAACTGTCAGAATGATTGTGTATAGTTTTGTGACTGTGCATGATTTTTCTGTCGGATGGAAATCCGCAAGTCTGAGAGGTTTGATGTTCGGCGATCTGCATTCGTATCTGTGCGGGTACTGGGGAAACACGATACTCCCGTTAGCCCTGACTTGGCCCATCCATGTTTTGAACCACAACAAATCACAGGTACAGATAAACGGGTTATTAGCTAAATCAATTTCTTTCACACAGACGGTACATAGGTGAGGACCAATCCATGACAGGCCATTTTATGCTTCGTCCTGCTACAAACGCAATATTTCTGACATTTGTTTGCCTTGGCCGAGGCTTGCGTAATGACCAATAGAAAGACGTTGCCGCAAAGACACCACACGTCCATTGTCAGGACTGTAACAGAAATGAAAAACCATTACAAATGGAAAATGTGACATTTGACGAAATACTTAACACTGTAAAATAGCCCGCGTTATTCACCAAATTGAAATCAATCAATTATTGCGACACTCAAAGGGATACGAATTTAATCGAGTGAGTGAGGAGGGTGGGGTAGCTTAATGCCGTATTTCATTTATATCACGGTGTGTCGGCTTGATGTGGCTGGAAAGCCCGAAGTGGGGGACGTTTACGAGTGTGGTTTACCGATGAATCACGACTTCTTCTTCACCGGCAAGATGGAAGACAACGTGTTTATCGTCGTCGAAATGAGCGTTTTGCCCCACATTGTGTACGTGAATTCGACAATTTCCGTGGCGATAGTATCATGGTGTGGCTGGGGGGAACATATCCTGCACCAGGAAATCTGACTTGGTTGTGGTTCAGGAAAATTTGACAGAAAATCGCTACAGGAATCAAATTCTTCAACCTTACCTTCTTCCAATCATTGATTTCCAGAGCGAGCTGCTTTAACAGGACAATGCTCCACCGCACACAGCTCGTGTCACGGTAGACTACCTCCATAATGCCAACATCAACGCCTTGCCTTTGCCGTCGATATCTCCAGATCTCAATCCAATCGAACACCTCTGGGATGAACTTGATCGACGTTTACGTCAACGTAAGAACACGCCGCAGACACCCCCCACAGCTGGCCAACGCGTTACAAGCAGAATTCCGCAGGACAGAATTTGCACACTTATCCAGTCAGTGCTGAGGAGATGCAGAGCCGTGATTGGTGCCCGGGGCTGTCACACGAGATACCGAGTCCAGGGCAGCCGTGTGGCCTCATGTGACATGACAATGAACGGTTTTCAATGCCTTTGTACAACGACAACATGTGACTGTCGAGCTCGAATATTTCATACTGATATTGAATTAAATATATCGACTTTATTAGGTACAATAAATTTACGTAGACGCCGCGTTGAGGAAAAATTGCATAACTTAGAAGATGAAAGATCGGC